CCTTCCGGTGGCGGAGGTGGCGGCCGGGGCGTCTGTGAGGCGCATCGAGCTCGCGGGTTTAGGACTGGAGTTTCACGCTGGGTGGATGTTTTCTTAACGCTTGGAGAAGAGGTTGGACGCTCTTGGTCGAGGTGCGAGCGAGGGTCTGAGGTGCAGAGGTTCCCCCTGCGTCTCCCTCCGGTCGCCAGCGTACAGCAGGGTCTGAAAGCGCCGTTTAACAGGTTAATACATTCGGAAGCTTCCTGACAAAGCCGTCATCGGCCACCAAAACCAACCTTCAGTCTCATAACCGCTCGTGATCCCCCTCTCCCGATTTGTGTTTCTTTCCCACCGTCCTTGTTTAGGCCAGAAGGTGAAGTTGCCACTTGGCCGGTGCGTGACGGGCCTGACTGGCTCTCCAGCTGGCTCGGTGGGCTCTGCTGTGCGTTGCAGGCTGATCTTTGCACGTGCAGAAACCTCTGTGGTCTTGCGTTCCCAAACCGATAACCCTACCCGCAGCAAGGGGCTTTTCCCCAGTTGCTTCCCGGTTTCATGTGCCCTGTGAACAGAAAGTAGGTGCCAGTGATTTTTCCACCTGCCTGTTGTGAGGGGGATTTAATTTGCCGCGGTGTCCAGATAACCGCAGTTGAGCTGGGGCCAGCCAACGTGTTTCAGTGTAGGTGTAAGCCGTGTTCAGAGCACGAGCTGCTTGCAGGGAACTGATCTGCACTGATCCCCTGTGCTCCAGAAGTTGCCTAGGATTTCAGTCTCTTGCTTGTTTCATTAAATTGAGATTTATCAGCCAACTGTATCTCTTAAAATCCTTAAACGCAGTCGGGAGGAGCACCAAAGTGTATTGCCTTTGGCAAGGAGGACCAGTGTTGGTGGCTGCTGCTGCAGCTGGTCCTGCAGGATGAAAGCAGAGCATCCTGTAGCAGAGCCTGGGGGAGATTTCTTCTCCCCGCCGTCCATTTGGAGATGTCACAGAGGGAAGTTGTCTGCCAGCAGGGAAAGTCCCGGGGTCATGGGGTTATAGAGGCTGAGAGTTCAAAAGAATGCATGCAAGACGTTAGGCTGGCATATCAAGGTCTTTGGACATCTCCCTATTTCTATGTGAGTGTGTTTTCCTCCCTATCCTCAAACATTCATCTCCCATTGACCAAGCTGCTGGAGGCAGCCTCTGTCTTTTATAGCAACCTTTCCTGCTGCCTTCAGGAATGTTGCACTGGATTTCAGCCAGTTCCACTGGCAGAATAGGTCCAGTAATTTAACTGGCTTGACCTGGTACTTGCCCCAGTATAGATGCATCATTGGGATGGCAGAAAATGTTGTGGACGAACACAGACAACCTTGTTTTTCCCTATAGGTCAAGTTTTGGCACTTTCTGGTGAACGTATTGGCGTGTCCCACTCAGTCTCCCAGGGATATGGTAGAGCTGGAGCTCTCTGTCACCGAAGGAGATGAAGCAGGAAGACCAAACTGCAATAGAGAGATCCCTCAGCCAAGGTGGCAAGATGCAGACCGTGCCCCGTCGGTGCCTGCTGTGGCCTAGGGCTCTTGGAGCAGCCTGTTGCTGTTCCCTTCAGCGGAGGCCTATCTAACCTCTCACCACAGAGCAGGGCTTGATCTCGGTCTTCTGTCTTGAACAAAATCCTCTTGTGTGTGCTAAGCAGATGCTGAGGTTCTATGTCCCTTATCTGTTCTTCTCTCCTGCCATTTTTATTTCATTTGGCCATTTTTAGCAAACTGACTTGCTGCAGGCCCTGCCTCCTACAGGGTCACAGGCCCAGGACAGAGTTACACTGAGATCAAACAGTCTTCGCTATTGCTTTGGAGTCAAAATACCGCCTCGGTACCGGGAGCAGGGACGTGAGCTCATGGAGGAGGCTTAGCACAACACAGCGTGACATTCTGCAGGAGCAGAATGACAGCTGTGGAAGGCATTAGAAAATGGACAAACAAGCCCCCTGCTTGGCTAGAAAAGCTGGGACAGAGACCTATCTGTGAGGCCTCCAGGTCGTTCCAGCTTCAGTCCGAGTTGGCACAGAGGGAAAAAAAGAGAAGTAGAGCGATGTTACCATCCCAGGTGCTGGCTGCTGCTGACACAGGAGGGCAGCACGCAGAGGTGGGCACCGGTGCCCAGCCTGGCTTGTGCAGCGCGCGCGGACCAGGTGATCTGCCTCAAACGCTGGGGCTGGAGCAGAGAAATGACAGTCAACTCACAAGGCAGTGGGACGCTCACTCAGCGCTAACTTGGTGGCAGAGCAGTCCAGACCGGCCTTCCAGAACTGCTTTAGCCCCTCAGCAGGGCTGCTATGTAATTTTCAAGGTAGTTTTTAGGGTTCTTGAGCACCTTCTTCCAGCACATCCTTCCTTACAGAATTAGCGCTGCACCGAGCAGCAGGGAGAGCTTTCACCCTGCCCTGCTTCCCACCAAAAACACAGCTTTGTCCTTCTTGGCTTGGGGCTTTAGTACTAAGAGACTAAAATAAAATAAAATAGAAGGAAATAGTTGGGGGGAAGGAGTGTGCTTCATTTTTAATAGGCCAAGTAGAATGATATTTTTTTTTGGAGATGAGCGATTTAAAAAAAAAAAAACCACTTTCAGTTTCAGTACTGACAAAATGAAAGAAAAGAAAAACGAGAAATGCCAGTGCCTCCTGCACAGGAGGAGAGGCAAGGCATGGCGAGGTGGGTTGCCGCGGGGCCACCAGAGGCTGAGCCAAGGTGCGGCCTCCAGCCCCCGGGTCCCGTGGCCGACGGCTGCAGGCAGCACCATGACTCGATCTTCAAATCTGAGTAGAAGTAGGTGACGCTCATGTTGGGCTTTCGGAGCACCTTTGGTGGAGCAGCTCTGAGCGGAGCCCGGTGCCGTCCCCTGCGTTGGGGCAGAGGTGCTGCCACAGCCAAACAGCCGCTGGACCTGTCCGCCCTGATTTCCCTGCTGCTGCTCAGCAGCGTACACCCTTCCCACTCTCAGTTCAACCTTTTTTTTTGGAGCAGGTAGAAGGATAGCTGCTGAAAAGGCTCCTGGTGACAGCAGGTTTTCATCTGAATCTTTGTCAGGGTAGGACTGAATCTTCCCCGTCACACCAGAGGATGACAGGAGATGAGCGATATTTACTCCTGGCAATTGACCACCTGAGCCAGTGCCTATTTGAAAACAGAGGCACATGTTCCAAGTATTGCGGTTGCTATGGCCTCCCTGGGCAGGGAGTAAAGAAAATCCAGAATGACAGGATAAGGCCAGTTGCTTTGCCGAGGGTGACAACAGGAGGCCAGGGCGTAAGAGCTATCCGAGCATAGTTAGTGCCGTGAGTCAACACCCCCGTCCCCGCTTGTCTGGCAGCAGGAGCCTTGGTGAACCCGCGGGCACCACAGAGCCACAAGGACCGATGTATGTGATTCCCTGGTCCCCCTTACAGCTTGATGCCCTGCTCCAACCTCAGTGGAAAGCAATTGGTGTTTGCACAGGGCTTAGGCCTGCAGCTAACGGTCAGTCACCAATGTTCATTTTCAGTCCCAGGAAATAAATCTCCTGTGGCTCTCCCTATAGCGTGTGGAAAGAGGCTCATGCAGATCACCTAGATCACGTTACGAAGGTGCTGCTTATGAGCTGCACCCTAGAGGAGCTAACGCAGCTGTGCTGATGGGTACCAAATCTCCCTGGTGCCAAACACCTTCAGGAAAAGCGCTGGTGGCAGTGGGGAGGCCAAACCTCCCCAGCAGTGCCAATGATTTGTCATCACCGGCCTTGGCTTCCTTGTCTCATCCGGCCACATTTAATTCCCTTTTTCAGGCGTGTATCTGTTTAGACTGGAGCTGGGCAAAACAAGTCAATGCAAACTTTGAAATTTGGGTGTGCTGAGGTGTGGTGAAATTGGGTGGAGCTGATGTGGGTTTTTTTTTTCTCCAAGCGCAGTGGAAGGGTGTTGAAATGTGAAATATTTGCTTCCTGTATTTCTAAAATGTCAGGGGACTTCAATTTAATTATTGTCATTACATATTATGCAAATATCAGTATGTTTCATTTTGAGTTGAATTCAGCAGCTTAAGCAGTTGTTTTTGGGTTTGTTTTTAGTTTTGCGCTTAGTTGGAAAGTTGTGAGTGTCTGTCCCAAACAGCAGAGAAAAAAGGTTGTTTGGGGTTCTCCCAGGAAAAGCGAATATTCACTTTATTTGCACAACTCTAACCCTGACCTAAATAACAGTTCATCCAATTTGATGATTTCATTTGCTTAATGAACTAAAAATAACTAGGAAAAAAATGAGAGAATTGATAGGACTCAGTCTCACTTTGAAGGCTTTGCTGTTTTTTTTTTTTTCCACAATCCCCTTATTTATTTTTAAATATGTCTTGTTTCAGAAGCGAGCATTTTTTTTTTGTCTTTAAAAGGTCATAAAAATATCTCCATATTGGAACAGTTATGGTAGATGAAGCTTACAGGGATGTGCCCAAGCAGCATCAAGTTGCCACTGCATACCTTGACTATGCATTACAAACACAGTACATAAAATTGTTAGTGAGATAGCTTTTAAATACTCATTTCCTTCAAGATGTTGACATAATTAATGCTTTGCCAGTTCTTACATCACTGCTGACACGGAACCGTACAGAGCACAGAAGGTGTTTTCCAAAGTAGTGTATAGCAATAAAAAGGAGGAAGGGGATGAAGCAACCAAGTTGGTTCTTGCCCATATCTTGTACAAAAGCATGTCTTGGGCTGGCCCCTTGTGATGCTGGACTCCGGCAGGCAGTTTTCTTGTCTAGCCCAGTGTTTGTTATAACCTGCATGAACCACTTCACACTAGTGCTTTAATTCTGCAGCAGTAACTTCACATCTGCAATGGGAGAGAAACTGAGCAGCAATCACAGCTGCTCAGTCAGGTCAGGGTGGTGGGTAAAATCCTGCCAGCTGTGGAAAAAATGGGTAACTGCGCTGGGTTCTGTCTTCATGTGACTAACATTGTAAAGAAACAAAATGTCTGTTCTTTGGTCAGAGTTTGAACTAATAACCCACTCCTCTTCTTTCATTTCATCCCCTTCTGCAAGTTCATTGCTCCAAATCCCCTGAGACAGGGCAAGTCACACGGCAGGAGGGAAGAAGAGACAGGCTGTGATTTTAAGCTGTGGGGGTGAATGACCGAGCCTCAGCTGAGCCATCAACGAGGACAGATCAGCAAGGCACCGTTGGTAGGAGACCCAGCCAACACATGGGCCTGGTTGCTGTAAGGAGCCCTAAAATGCAACTTTAAAAAAAACCACTTGCATGTTCTTGATTAGTGTCTTGTTCAGCTATAGGCTCTGCCTTTACGAGGCCTTGGTCTATGCTGTTTATATGGAAATTAAGCCCTGCTTTGCTACAGCTGCTCCTTCTCTAGCAGGCTGTAAGCATCAGGGGCTGACACCTGGGGCTGACTGTTGTGTTTTTAAACGCTTTAACCTGCACCTGCCCCAGGTTTTCCCTGAGTTAGCAGCTCTACCCTAGAGCCTGTACAGAAATTCAGTGTGCAGGAGCAACACAGTGTTACAGGACTTAGATTTCTCTTCAGGGAGCTCAAAAGAAGAGGCATGGTAAGAAACCAACCTGCTTGGTTGAGGTTTTTCTAGTGCTAATACCAGAGCTTTCATCTTTAGCAGCTAATACCAGCTCTGCTCCTAGTTGCTCTTAGGCCAGGTCAGGGCACCAACTGCCTGGCAGGGAAGTAAATGCAGCCTTGGTGGGCAAGGACCTGGGTGTGCTACTCTCTATGTGGCTTGACATAAATATCTGTGTTAATGTATGTGTTCATCAGTAAAAGTTAGCTGTGGAGGGGCAGGCAGAAGCAGGGAAAGAAAACTGAGGAACTGCCAGGTTGCAAAAACTCATGGTCCCTGGGCTAGGTGTAGTGTGGAAGGAGGCACCCTGGAAAAGCCCTGGCAGAGTGCCAGGCAGTGTCTCATCTACTTGGTCCTGCCCTGATCCTGAGGATGCCCCCAGGGTCTCTGCATGCAGCCCAAAAATTCAGAAATGGCTCTCATGGCTTCCCCCCCCCACACAGATCAGAGCTGCAGGTAAAGAGGAACCTATCATGTAGGACCAAAGCCGATGCATCATCTCCAAGAGCTGGTTGTAATCTTGTGGTGGAAAATGGATCAAGAGTGGTTTTTTTTTCTTTTTTAAAGAGGCAGTGTTAAGTTAAACTGTATTACTCAGTCCTCTAACTGTGCAATCCCTTGATGCTTCACAGCATCAGAGCATTAATGAGGTGACTTGTGTTTAACTGCTGGGGGTCTGTCTTGGTTTTCAGAGGTGAAATGGTATGCTTGGATGTTAGCAAGCAGATGAGCAGGGAGGAACAAAAGAGCTACTGAGCTGAAATGTCTTTCTGGTGTAATAGTTAAGTTATCCATACTGCTACAAGGAGAGTGTTTTCTGAGAGAAAAGCTACCTGCGAAGTACCACTCTCCTTCCTGCCACCCCACACAGAGGCAATAATGTTCTCATGTGCAATTAGCTGTTTATAATATCAGCTCTTCCTGTCCCTCAGAAGGAAGCATACAATTCATTACCTTCAAGGTGCAGCTGGCCAAAAGGGCTGGATTCACTTGTACCTGTCAAACTCTTCCCAGGGCGGTAAGAAAAACAAGTAGAAGAGAAATAGCACTAGGGAGTTATGAAGCGAGTGTCGTGTTTGTTCCTGCCTCTGCCTGCCCCAGGTGGCCAGGATTGGCTTTCCAGCCCTTCCCCAGGGCTCTGGCAGCTCTTGCTGCTAGGGTTTGGCATGCAGGTGGCAACCTCCCTTCTCAATGGTCTGGACTGGATGGATTGGGAGGACGAGGTGGGAGATGCGGCTCCACAGCCCGCTCAGCTTGTCGGAGTCCATGTGGTCGTAGGAGCTGGGAGCACTGGTGTCGGTGAACTTGGCCCAGAGGAAGTCACGGACTCTCTCCTCCACCTGCGGGAGGCTCATGTGGGTCTCCAGCATCTCCTCCTCCAGCAGCACAGTCAGCAGCAGGGCCACGTCCTTGAAAGCAGCACTTTCATGGTCACAGTACTTGTAAAAGATGAGGGTGGCCCCCGCCGGCAGCAACTCAAAGTGGTGTATCACCGCAGCACGGCCCCCTGCCTGGAAAGCTGAGCTGAGCTCTCTGTCCACCTCCAGCTTTGCCTGGTCGCTCTGGAGCCCGGCTTTATCTGCGCCATCAATCTGGACTGTGCTTGCATGCAAGGCAGCTGCATAGGTGTCCGCCACGTGGACAGTAAGGCACCGCAAAGTCCTTTTGCCCTCACGGGCAGCTGTGAAGATGATGACAGCTGGCTCCGTGTGGTGGGACACATTGAGGTGCTTCTGCAGGAACTTGCGCCCCCGGAGCCATAGTTGGGGGCTCTGCCCTGGAAACCTGTCCTGCAGCTGGTTGAACTGGGACAGGAAGGCCTCCACCGTGGGGTTTGTGGGGGCCTGCTGGGACTTAGAAGCCGGGATGCCAAAGCAGAGCATGATGATGAACAATAATAATAAGCAGATCACAACAAGCCCTGTTTAATGGGGAGAGATCCAAGACAGGGAACACAAGTCAGTCCGAAGCAGTGAGCAGTGATAAGTGAGTTATAAGTGATGAGTGAGTTATGAGGGCTCTGTTTCCCCTCCCTGACCTTCCCCCCTACAACTGGAAGGTAGTTTGAGTTGGCACACTCCAGGAGCCCAGGAACTGCAGCGAGACCTCTTGCCTCATGTTGTGGGACCCACACACCAGCCTAGGAGCTATAGCTCCACAGATGGAGACAAGGCTACAGCTTTGGAGTCTCAGAGCACAATTCCTGACGAAATTACAGCTGGTCACAAGCTTTCTTCCTTTCCCCACCCTTCTGTTTTCTTTAAGGCTAGTGGCTGTTCACAGCACCTGCCTCCACATATGGAGGTGGCCAATCCAGTGAAGGGTTCTCATTCTTGGGCTGCCTCTTAGCTATGCTAGGTGAACAAGGGCTACTGTGCTTCTGTCCGGAAAAGGAGGACAGCGAGGTCCAGGCCACAACTGCTCGTTGCTCCCAACAGCAAGGTGGGATCTCTGTGTGCCGGCAGAAGTGCAGGGTGCACATCAGCACTACAGCTTCTGCTTGAGTTCCCATGACACAGAGGGGGACTAGGGAGGAGAGGCCCATCAGCTTAGGAGCCTCAGCCCTCGGAGGACATGCTGGTATTGCATCCAAACTGGAGAGCTGCAGGGAAAGCCATCTACTGCAGGCTTCAACTGGGCCTATTTTAAGGGTATGGTTTGCTTTTTACCTGAACGCTGTTTCCCTAAAATCCCTAGGGCCTGACATGGGCAGCAATTCCTGCAAACCCTCAGAAAAGACTGAAGAGTCCTGAGAGAGAAGAATAATTAAACGTGCTGCTTTACTTGTTCCTGGAGGATCAGCGCCTTCTGGTTGACGAGTAACCCGCAAGGGAAGCTTCCGTTCCTCACCTGTCAGCAAGAAGAGCTTTTTAGCCTTCTCTTGCTGTGTGTTTTGGGTGGTGACGTTCTGCAGGCAGGACTGAGCCTCTGACTTTGGGGCTGTGTGTCCTACAGTAAGAGAAGGAAATTTGCTGAGGAAACAGGCAAGCTGGACTGCAGTAAGAAAAGCAACAGGGCTGCCAGCAGCTCCCAGCTGAAAGAGAAGGAACAATGATACTGCTCTCAAGCATTGGCTCTTCCTGCTTTTTGAGCAGGGGAAAAGGGAAGACACATGCAGAGCCCAGCATGGTTTCATGCCTTTCAAAGCAGGATAGCGAAGGAGGGAGAGAGAGAAGCAGGTTAACTTTGTGCTGAGAAGCAAATACCTTCTTTCCTGCTTGACTCTGGAAAACTGACAGCAGGTGCTAGAGATCTCCAGATAATCTCCAGATTTCCAGTGTCTCTGCAAAGTGTGGGCATGTGCAGAGTGGAGCAGCAGCAATGTGCAGCCATAACTCACCTTCGGTCCCACGTCTGTTCCTTAGCATGCTATGGGATTCACTCTCCAGAGTTTCTTGCTTCGTGTGCTCTGCTGGCTCCTCATCTAGGAGGGAGGCACTGGCACTCTCCTCTGCCAAGAGGCTGCTGGTGACACTTTCTGTGGCAGTCGGACCTGAATGTCGCCTTTTACTGTCGGAGTTCAGTGACTTGCCTATTGATAAATCATCTTCCTCTGGTCTGTGGGAGCTTTTGTCTTGCCTGCTTGTCTCCTGGTGCCCGTGTGTTTCCTGGTAGACAGGGCTCTCTCCTTTGCTGTCTGTTTTGTTTTGAGCTAGCCTGGCTGTAGGGAACAAAATTCACAGACCTAAGCTCAGCCTCTTCAAGCACAAGAACCAACAGTCCTTCCTTCTGTTCTGCCTCCTCTCAGCAAAGCCCCTGGTTATCAGCATTTTGGAAGTGCCATGCAAACACACAGATGGGGAGAGGACTCACCTCCATCTGTGTCATCTTCTGCCTGGGATCTTTCTGAGAGACCATCTCCTGTCTCTCCAGATTCTTCCAATGACGCTTTGGTTTCCTGGGGGACCTTCTCCTCTACTGTAGGGCCAGCCTGCCCCAAGTGTGTCACCTTGCCCCCAGCAGCAGTCGATGATTCACCCACTGCAGGATCCCTCTCCTCTGGTTTGCAGGAGGTTTCAGGCCAGCTGCTCGTCACTTGGTGCCCAAGTGCTTCTCGGGGGCTCTCTTGGTGGGCAGGATGCTCTGCTGTGCTCTCCCCCTCATCCTGGGCTGGCCCAGCTGTTGGCATCAGAGTTCACAGCTCAAATCTCCATACAGGAGTCAAGAAAATCTACTTCTTTACCACCACCCGGCAAAACTCCCAGTCTTTGCATTTCAGAAACATCTATACAAACAAATTGCCAAGAACAGAATTTACTGTGACCAGCCATCATCACCAATGAATCGTGCTGCCTCATGCTTTCAAAAAGGACTCAACTGGGTCTTTGCATTTGTGACTGCAATAGTGGCTACACAATGACTAATCACTTTTAGGGACACACTCCTCTATCTACACTTCAACCTGTCCAGGGCTGGTAAATAGAAATGCTTTTAATGCACAAACCCCGTTAACGTTGCCCTATGATGGGGAGCAGTTTCTTCATTAAGTGTTAGGATATGTTACCACATCTTCCACAGACAGTGGTTTTCCTAGGCTGGTAAATTAAGATGACTGATCTGAAGCGTTTCTAAAGCTGTTGTTGGATATTGGCCGGAATAGTTAATGTCAACACTCTGAGCATCTGCCTGAAAAAAAATTAAATGTTAGCTCTGTTTGTGCTCTGTCCCTGTTCTGGAGCTGTTCTCCCAAACAGTTAAGATCAGGTATTGTAGAAGCAGCAAATTAAGAGCAAATATCAGAGAGGAATTCAACAGAGAGATTCTGAAGCTGAACATTAGTTTGGCAAGATCTGGAATCTTGCAAATGCTTAACACTGCAGCTCAAATCTGACTTTTTTTTTTTTTTTTTAAACAAAAAGGGCGGGAGTGTGAATGATCCTACAGATCTAGCTCTACAGTGACAGAAATGATTGTGCTAAAATTAGAATAAAGATTGATTAAAAATCGCAAGGAACTCCCCACTAATTTGAAAACAGACAAATAGCTGCACTGGTTTCGTGTCAGAACACACTGTCCTTTGGAGCATGATTATTACGTTCTTTGTTGCTGATTATTATGGGAACATTTCAGAACGCTTAGGACAGGTCTTATCTGATTACAGCATCTAGGCATCACTGAAATACCCACATGTACTACTAATAACAAGGTACCAGGAGAATGTAAGTACATGCTAGACATTGAAACGTGAGGAACCTGAGAGGTATCCTGCTATTCAAACTGGGCACAAACAGCGCCTGTCCAGGGAGGTTTCCCATCCATAGATGGTGGAAGAAGGGCTTGTTATTTAAGCACCTGTAGATTTGTGGAATCTGGGCTCTGCAGTTTGGATCCTGAGCTTGAGCCAAGTTGTCTCTGTGTGAAATGTGTGCCTGCCTGCCAGGTATAAATAAGCCTTTGAGGCTCGCTGCTCAAATGGAAGTGTATTTTGTTATAAACTCAGAGCTGCCTTTCTAAGGGGGTCCGTCTGAGATACCAGTGTTCAACAGAGCCTCTTCTTCCTCAACAGAGCCTCTTCTTCCTCAGCGGTAATAGGAAGGAGTTGCTCTCCAGCCCCTGCCACCCATTGCATGTATCCCCGCGATGGGAGTTGCTCTACTGGATTGTCCTCTCTCTGGCCTGCTGCCCCAGAGAGGGTATTCTCCTCTCTGCAACCAGCTTCACAAAGCTGCCTCTCATGGGGAAGCGCTGGGAGGCTGGGAAGAAACCTCTCCCATTCTGGAGTCCTTCTTGCGCTACAGTCCTGGACACCAAGTCTAAGCTTGTTGCTGCTGGGAATCCAAAACTGAAAGTAACTTATCCTTCCCCTCCCTCCCCACCCCCGCAAAAGATAGCCGCTTTCTCTTTCTTGCTTCAGGTTTCCCTTTTCACTGTTGAAATTTTCTTGCAAAGGGGCAGTACATGGAGCACGAGTGGGATTTGCTTACCTTGGCAGAGGTCCGCATTTGGATTCTCTTCCATTTTCTTGCTCTCTTGGAGTCCTGGGCTCTGCACTGTTCTGTTTCACTTTCCGACTTGGTCATAAGGAGACTTGTCTCCCTGCCGCTTGAGTGGCCGAGCAAGTCCTACCCCTGCACGCAGACACCATCCCTTCAGGGCCTCAGGAATTGCAACTAACCACCAGTAAAACTGATAAGCACAAGCGCAGAAGCTGTGATTGAGTGGAAGAGGAGGCTGCTCCCTCCCTGTCTGTACTTATCAAGCTGCTTGGGTGATGTGAAAATGGATGGATGTGCCCAGGCGCATTTTCAATAATGCATGACACGAGTGCTTGAGCCCAAACAATAGTAACTATTTCACCTGCCCAGCAGGCTACAAACAGTCCAGGGGCTGCACCAGTTTTGCAGAGCTGTCCTGGGACAAGCCAGCATGCCCGGGCAGGGGTTTCTTATCCAGCCGGGCCGCCGCAAAAAAAACCTCCGATCCTGCAGGCCTCGAGGCGGGGGCTCTGCAGGCTCTTACATGCAATTGGAGACACCCGGTATCCTGCACAACGCAGCTGCATCGACACAGAGCAAAGCCCTAGCTTTATTATGATATTAATAATTACTTTTTAATGTTAATTAATGGATATTAATAAACTGGGAGCTGCGGGCCGACTCTCCTACACCATCCGCAGCGATAGTCCCTCCCGCAGCAGAAGCACCGTGGGAGCAGGCAGCCGCCCGCAGCAGGTAGCTAGTATTACTGGCATAGCCGAAGACAGTGAAGCTGTGTTTTCAAGACCACTCGGAAACCTCCAGACAGGGAGTCTTAGAGGAAACGGGCACTGTGGAAGCAGACTTCTCTGGTGCCCGCGTTTCCCCATCAATACAGACTCCAGCCCATAGGTTTCATGAGCGCAACGCCTGCCCGACCACCAGCCAGCAAGGGTGAGCAGCAGGGAGCAGGTACAACGCACGAGAAACTTTCCCTGCCAGGGACCAGTTCCTGCAGATTTACGTGAAATACAAGACCTCAATATCCGATCTTTACAGCAGCTCTCCTAGCCGAAGAGGGCACCTTCTGCCACCCGATGCTGTCTCTATAACCGGGTTTTCTTGCTGCCTATGAGGCTGGGGGGGGATATAATTGCAGGCTGGGCTCGCGTCCCTCCCGTTCCCTCCCCGCGCTGGGTCCCCGCAGTGACGCTGGCAGAAGAAGGAAGTCGGAGGAGCAAAGTCTCTGCTGGAGTCAGCGCTTACCCGTGCAGGTTTGGAGCCGGTCCAGGTGGCGAAGCCAAGCAGAGGGGCTGCAAGAGGCGGCTGGTGACAGCACCGTAGCGTGCGCGCGCCCTTCCCGGAGGCCTGGTGGCCCCGCGGTTGGCAGGACAGCCCGTTCCCCAGCCGTGCACTCTTAATCCTCCGCTGTCAACGTGACAGTGAACTCTGCCCTTCCCCGGTGCCCAGGCAGGCTGCTGGGAGCTGTAGTTTTCCTTCTTTCCCTCCGAAGACGGCTGGCTTTTCCTTAATGAGCAATAACTAGATCAGCAAGGGCATTGCGCCAAGGAGTATTTAGGAAAAGGTCACTTTTTTTTTTTTTTTTGGCTGTATTTCTGAAACTCTGCAGTTGCACGCAGTTTCCTTCAATCCAACCGAATGACTAGCTTCTTTCCATGTTAGGTAACAGTGTTGCAGATTTAAATAAATCGCAGCAGGGAGAGAAATTGTTTTGAGAGATGATTTAGGAAGACTGAAGTATTACAAAATGCCCCAAATGTAGCCAACAACCCTCAGACTCTGGAAAAGTCACCTTCTGGGAGTGCAGGGAGGCTGGGGCATTCCCGTGAAAGGGAGCGTGTTGAGCACCCGCCTGGAGGGGAACCAGGCGCGGGGATGTGCCCGGCACCTCAGCAGGCAGAAGAGCCCAGAGCGAGCCTGTGCAGCTGCTCCTGGCCTTGCTGGGGCAATGATTTTCAAAAGACATTATAATTGGCCTCACTGTGTCCGCACAAGGGACAGACGCTTTCTGCCCCCTGCCACCCGATACCCTGCTGGGGGGCATTTCAAGGGGACTGGTGGCGTGGAGCAGGGCACAGTGGGGTGGAAAGGCATCCGGTGCGAGGAACAGCTATGCAGAGACTGGAGCCCTCCTCTGAGCCCGCAACCTTTTTACCAGCACCCCAGGGGAGCCCAGTGACAAACTGCTGAAACAAAGTACAGAGAAAGGCAACCGAAATAGTACAGGTATGGAGCAGAGAGTAAACGGCTGGGGCTCTTCCATTTGGAAAGCAGAGAGGGGATTTGATTGATGCTGAGTTGTTACTCACCAGGTCCCTCAGTAAGAGAACGTGGGGCACTTGATAAAACAGGTAGGAGGTCAGGTTCAAGTGGGCAGAAAAAAAAAATACAGATGCAGAAAATGTAGAAACTTTCAGATTTTGTTGCTACAGAAGGCTATGGAGGCAGAGTGTCAGCAGGTTCAAAAAAAGGATTGGACTAATTCATGGACAGCAGGTCCACCAGCAGTTAATGCAGGACTGGGCAGGGATGTACCTGGCAATGAGAGATGCCATTTAGGTGGAGCATGTGAGCTGGGTGCCGCTCTGTGGTCACTTTCATCACACTCCCCCCGCATCCCGAACCGTTGTACTGGGGGTGTTACAGCCAAAAAGAGGTCAACTGTGCCATTGGGCCTGCCGGATGGCCTGCTCCCTCTTTCCAAAGGCCTCCATGACCTGTCCCCCTGCCTGTGCCTGCTTTTGTGTCCGTCCCTCAACCTATTGTAATTGCTCGGTTACGGGACAGACATGCACGTGTGCCATGCTACACAAACGGTAAGTGTGTATATGCGTATCAACACCCATGCTGGTCATAGCAGAAAGGTGGTACCTTATTTTAAGATGTGTGCATGGGCACAAGATTGTACAGATTTTATGACAGAAACAAATCTGCTTGCATGATGTGGACTAATACTTCTAAGATACATGCTGATTTAGGCTGGATAGAGAATAGATGGGCTTCTTCATGGTCAGTATGGATCTCCCTGTTTTCCTACCTCCTGTAGCAGTAGCAAGATTGCACCTGCTCTCCAGCAGTGAAGAAAGGCAGGCAGCTTCCTCGGGGAACTGCAGAGCCACCCTGTTGATAGTGGCTGGGAGGGGACAGAGTCCACCTCCTTTCTTGGCAGATTCAGCAAATTCTTTTATCACGGCCAACCCCTCACAGGTTGCAGTAGAGGACTATAAATCCAGGGAGGTTGGCGAAGCAGGAAGCAACAGTCTCCGTGGCTTATCTACAGAGAGCTCTCCTAGCATCATAGCTGCCGGATAGTCCCAAGATCAGGCTGTGAGTAGACCAACACCTTCCTGAGGGTCCTGGTCTTTGCTGCTGTCCACCTTGCACGCCTGGCCAAAGATGTGTTTGACTTGATCTGCTTCGAGCCATAAGTAAGAAATAGGAAAGGTGGTCAAAGTGGACAGGAGCTGCAGGGGACCTCAGGAAAAGGCAGGGAGATTATTCAAAGGAGAGAGCAAGAGGAGAAAGTTGGTAACGTTTGCAGATGTGTGAGGACGCTTCATCCAGGTCACTGATGAAGCTGTTGAATGCTGTCACTCCCTGCCTCCACCTCTGGGCTTGCTGCTTGCTGCTGCCTGGATGTTGAGCCCCCCGATTACTAACCCTCTATGCATTATAGATTACTAAAACTGATGGTGGCACTGCACCCGCCAAGGACCGTGAGTCAGGACAAAGTCAGGCACTAGTGTAAGCCTTTGCAGACTTCACGCTTCGTTACTGAAAAGCATTTTGGCAAGAGAATTAGCTACGACAAAACTGTTTTGGCACTATCCAGGATCACACAGCTATTACAAAAAAGCATGTTGACATTGTGTAATGTTGCTTTTTCCCTTTTAGCGTTCATGCCCTTGCATTTCAGCTGGCATACAGAACTCTGACTTAACAAATCTGATCCTTTTTTAACCCAAGTCTGATGAGGAGTTTTCTTTAAAGAGGAATAGTCTCCCCTCTCAGTCTGCAGGAGGACGAACGGTAATCATAAATCAACTGGATTATAGAGAACATGCTTTCGAGTCCTATTTTTCTTTACCTAATGTCATTGTTTACATAATGTAACCATTTAGTTCTGTTCTTTGGAAACCTGTGAATAAAGCGGTACTTCTTCTAACTTCATTTCCAGCAGGTCACCTGCCTGATCAGAAACGATGAGTCAGTCATCCGGCAGCTCTTTTTTCTACTCGGGTTTGAATCAGAACGAGCAGTGCCGTTGTACTTTGAAACCTCCTTCCTAATGAGGTTATTTATCACACCCTCTTCTGAGCTTTTGCTTTCGGAAACACTGCTCTGCCTCTGCATTCAGCTTCCACACCTGGAGAGAAGGGCAGTATTTACTGGTACGCGCCAAGGTGCCCGTTAATTTGTCCGGCAAATACCGCCTTGCCTCCAAACGAGACGGGTGCCGTGTGCCGCGGGCTCTCGCACCCGCCCGCTCGGGCTCGAAGGGCGCCCGCAGCCGGG